TCTTTGCTAACCTAACCAAAAAAGAGATACCAAGATAACTATGCTACATGGGCATTCTGTAGGGCATGGTTTCATCAGAGTTTCACTCCTCCCTCTGGGGCCCCAAAGTTCTGGCAGAATACATGAACCAGGGCTGAATCCAAACTCAAGTCAAGGTCAAAACTAACATGCAAGCACTGGGACAAGGAAAGAGCTAACATGACAGCACACATCTTAAAAGCACAACCATGCTTATGCACTTAATGCTTAGACAAACCAAATCTCTGCAGATACTTCCCTGAATGACTTGGATGAGTCCCACACAACACTGATTGGGGATTGTGCTCAGAATAAAACAGCTTGGCAATGTTCAAGTAAGCACACAGCTTCTGCCCAGGCCAGTCATGCCAGGACACAGCAACCAACACTAGCAGCAAGGAGCTTCCTGAATTTCAGTGGCTACTGCTTTCTTTTAAATCCTGTGGAGGGACAAGAGTTTCATACACAGCTGAAATAAAGCCAGGACTAGCTCCACAAAGCTCTCCTTCAGTACTGCATCATTTACAACTGTGGAACAGCTCTGAACAGGCTGAAGAACACCTGCACAACAGCATGTACCTTACCCAGGCTGACCTGGCATGATGTCTACACCTAGCCCTCTACTTTTTGAGGAAATGCCATAGCTGCTACAGAGAAAGCTTCCCTTCCCCCATTGCCTTTTGACCAGCAGGACACTGCTCAACTCAGCCATTCACAGGGAGGGATCCCATATAGGGCATCTCTGGGCAGCCAGAGTTCAAGCAGCTGAACTTCTGGGAAGGAGCTTCAGATCACGTACATACTTAACACAATCCATTAACAAGTTTGAGTCAGCTCCCTGCTGCTCAGCATGTGAGCTGTGTGAACTGTGCTCAGATGCCTGGCTCTCCTCATGCCCTGTACAATGAACACTCAGCAGTGATGTCTGGACTTCAGTCAGCAAGCCAGGCAGAGTACACAACACTAAATGGCTTACAAGGTATCTCAGTCTTTCATATGGACCAGGGTAACTGGTCCATTCAAAGTCAATGGAGTCCCCAGCCCTCTATCACTGAGCCACACTGCCTCCCTGTTGTTTTCCTCCACAGCTCAAGGGCCAGCATGAGCTCTTCAGAAGCTTCATTAGTTTTTTGCTGACTTTACCAGGGCACAGTGTGGCTCTTAATACAGGCTAATCCGTGCTGGAGGCTGTTGCTGAAATTCAGCATTACCAGCAACAACAATACATGCCCGAGCACAACACAGCTGTGTGGAACCAGCTTTCAGCACTGCTGCTTGGGGTGCTGTATACACAACTGCTGGAGCTGCTGCAGCCAGCAACAAAGCCCAGAACAGCCACTCATGAAGATGCAGCTTGTCCAGAGGGAAGACACATACCACATCCCAGAGGTGCATGCAGAACAGGTGACAAGCTTTTTGCTTAAGGAGAGAAGACATAATCCATCCACCTGGAGACTGCAGCAGAGTCTGTTCCAAAAACTACAACCATTTGCCAAAATCCCCTAAGGTACTTATATAAGCAGAACCGGTGCCCCAGGCAGAGCATTATCTAAGAGCACACTAAAGGAGAAACTCAGAGGCACTTTACCTCAGCTCCCAGCTTGATAAGGGTCTCTATGAGAACTGCTGTCTGCACAGTCATGTGAAGGCAACCAGCGATACGTGCACCTTTCAGTGGCTTCGATGCAGCATACATCTCCCGCATCTTCATCAGCCCTGGCATCTCATTCTCTGCAATCTCAATGGCCTTGCGACCCCAGTCTGCAAGGCTGATGTCAGCTGCAAGAGAAGGACAGCTGTCAGAGTAGAAATAGCCAAGACTCTGGTATCTGTTCACGCTCTTGTGGGTATGCATTGCCTGCAACAGCTGAACTAAACCACCAGCAACAGCTGGCAGACCTGGGGCAAACAGACCCTATTCCAGTTACTCCCTGCTTTTTCATTAAGGTACACAGGTTTTCAACAAGCTTAGAGCAAACTTAACAGCTCCTCTGAAAAAGTGTGCTCCTGTATGAGCATATTCGTCAACTTGATCTAATGTGCAGACATCCCAAGGGCCATTAATCTCATAAGCCCCAGCCTTCAGTGCTCCTACTTGCACAGACTGCCCAAGGGCCTGACATCTTCTACAGATCTACTTCCACAGCATTAAGACATGCATGGAGGAGCTGCTGGTGTGACAATAGCTTCCCCACATTATAGCACAGGTAGCATGGTCCCTGCCAAGCACACCAGGAGCCGAGCCCAGCCCAGCTGCCCCTCTTAAGAGCTGTGCTGCAGAGATCCTACCCCCTTGGACCCACAAAAATTATTTTCAAGGCACCGTAACTACCTTAGTTACAAGTCTACTTCTGCTTTGTAAAAAGGATCTGGAGTAGAAAAGTCCAGGAAGAAAATGAACAAAAGACTTCCAAGAGGCTAACCTGCAGTAGAAAATAGGGTGCTCACATGGATATCTGACTCCAGCCTTGAAGAGGCAAGGGTCAAACAGCGAGTGCCTAGGTGCAGCACTCTGCAGCACCAGCCAGCATCCAGTAGCCCTCTTGCTCCACTGGCTCTTTCAGACATGTCAGAAGCTTACCATTTCATTAACAAACATGGTCAGACACTTTTCTTTCACCTACCTGGTGAACACAGGCCTTCGAAAGCACTCAAGAACACCGAGACCTCGGAGTCAGACTGCATGTTTAATACAGACAAGCTAATTGCATTTTGCTCCTGAATGAAGCCTAGAGGCCACTGAAGCTATTGCCCCTGCTTCAGCCGACTGGTGCTCAGCCGTTACACCAAGCAGGGATCACAAAAACCCGAGGCAGAAGGGCCATGGAAACAACAGGAGGGGGATGTCTTGAATCTCATCCCTCTTAAGGGCTCCGTAGCTTTACCAGGGCTACTTAAACAAAACAAATAAACCTGGCAGTATTTAATCCATAGCCTCCACGGTAAACGAGTTATGAATCTCAGCCTTACAGACTAATTTTCTTCTCCCTTAATTTAGCCTTCAAAGAGCACACAACTCTTTAGAAAAATTAGGGTTGTTTTTCTTCTCTCTGTGGAGTTTCAGGTCTACAAAAACACCCGCCAAAATCTTTATGGAAGCGCGCAGCACAGGCCCAAGATTCAAACACACTTTCATGTCCGGAGCGAAACCCTGTCCCAGCGGAGCCGCGGGCAGAACAGAGGCCGCGGGCCC